TATGACAGTATCCCACCCCTTCTCCTTAAAAAGTCCAGTGCTGAATTTTTACATCTCACAGGAAATTGCTGTTTTCAAGATGTAATGAAAGAGATGACAGAGAAATGTATGATCCCTACATCATTCTTCATATGCTTTTTTACTCTTGCTGAGCACATGCTTCAGCTCAGTGTTCCTTGTGCCTGGAGCATACCCAGAGTGTCTTCCCACCTGTGAATTGAGGCTTTGAAATGCTGTCCAGTTTCTTCTTATTACTTGAAGTGAAAACTGTGCACTGCACCTTGAAAAAGCTCTTCTGTAAGAAAATTCCCTATCGGTTGAGTCACCATACCTGGAGGTATTTAAAAGACCTCTGTTTTTCAAACATGTGACACCTGGTTTAATGCTGAACTTGGCAGTGCTGGGTTATTGTTAGGCCTCGATGATCTTACAAATCTTTTTCAACCTAAATAGTTATGTGATTATCAGTGCAATAAGCTGTTATAAAATAAAAAATACAAAAAAATAGGGTGCAAGTTTCAATCACGCTTCTTGTTACATTTTCTACACATAGTTTTCAGGTAATCTTCAGGAAGTGAAGGCATCTTCCTTATTCTGGGTTCTCCCATTCTATGCTATGTCTGTAATCTCAAAATATATTCTTGACAGGATAACAGTTACTGCAGTTGAGAAGCCCATGTGTTCTGGGTGAATTGAATACCCTAGCAAGTGTACACTTTGCAAATCCTTCTCCATGCACCTCAGAAGTCTAAAGAAGCTAGCATTTGAAATGTTCTTTTTTTATTAGTTACTGAAATTATCAATTTTGAGTTATACAATTTCTCTTGGAACAGCCTTCAGCTGTAAACAGCAGTGTCAGGTCCCAGTTGCCCAAATCTCAGCTCCCTTTAGCCCTTGGTCTCTGTGCACAAGAACAGACTTCACTGAAGTGAGGCAATTTCAGGAGAAAGGTTTCATTCTCAGGAGAGGGAGTTGCTACAGTTAAAGCAGCAGCAATCCAGGTAATTTTCAGGCCCTTTGGAAGGATACAGCCTTATTTTATTATTGTGTTAAAACCCGTAACTGCTCTAGTGCTGAAAGCCATACTTACTTTGATACAGGTGCTTGTTACAGTACTACTCGTTTCCCTTCTCTTTCCTCTGAAAGTGTGACAGGATTTATTTTACCTTTTTTCCCCTAGCTTGTGCATTTGAAGTTAGGAAAGCTTTTCACAAGGTTTGTGGTAGGGTTACTAGAGCATCCTCTGTTTCTTCAGCAAAACCCTTCTTCCCATAATTGAGTTTCAGAAGGAAATTAAAGATTAGGATAATGCTGAATCCAATTTTTAAAGGGAACCACAATTTTTGTTACTAGCATCATGAGTCTTATATTCATAACTGTTCAGTATACATTCCAATTTTACCAGAAATTTGGTTTATTATCAGTGAAGAAGATAGAAGTAGTATATCTGTTCTACTGAGAGTTCACCATATATTTTAGGAGGAGTAACTGGAACTTTCCTGAGGAGAGGTGATCCAGGGCATGGATTCCCACAGCTTAATGTCATTAGTTAGTGAAGCAGCAGTCTCATTTGTCCTCTATCACTAACTGTATGGAAACTTAATAGGATTTGCTAAAAAGCCTTTTGGATAAAACTAGGTAAAATTTAGGGAGACTTCTGTTAAGAAAATGAATACTTCGCTCTTTGCTTTATGATTTTTATCACTTTCAACGAATGTCATCTTAATCATCTTTCAAGGTGTCGTAAAGGACATACTCATCTTAAAGGGGATAGAGCAAGGGAGCCATCACCATCACGGAAGGATCTGTTTCATTAAATCCTGGATTTGAGAGCTGAATACACCTAGCCCTATCCGATTTTGGTAGCTGCTGCTAATGATAGGAGGCAGCAAAAGCAGCTTGCAAAAAAGTGCCCAAACAGTAATTTGTATGATTATGAGATTTATTAACAATGGGTATACAATTAAAAATGCTGAGATATTTTGGCAATCATTTAAATATGGGGAATTATTGTCTTCAGAACAAAGCATACTAGATGTGGAGTAGTTAGTGAAGAACAGCTCAGTGGATGTAACAGACCCAGGATCCCACCAATTGTGGGGATCCTGGTGAAAGAACAACTGTAATCCTTGTTTTCTTTGCAAAGTCCTGTTCACTCTTCAAGCAGGACAAATGGTTTTCTTGAAAGATGATAAAGTCCATGCGTTTTTTGACATAATCTTGACGTTCGTTCTTCAGAAAGGAGGAATATTATGTTGTTTTTCTTGAAAAGACATTTTTTAAGTATATCAACTTAGCATTGTGAATATGGTTTGGTTTTTTTTCTTCAGTCTGACTAGTCTGGTAGGTGAATGCTTAGTTTAAGTACAAATAAAGTGCAGTAATGCATTCAGGACCTGTTTTGATGTGCTGTGTCCCTGTAGCACTTGCCCCGTATCACTGCACCTTGCCATATGGTTTTAACAGAGACTGAACATAGTTCAGTCATTTCTCTGAATGCTCAGGATCAGATGTAGAGATGGGTAATACATGAAAAAGCGTATTAATGAAAATTGTCCCAATATGGGAGACTATTTTACAAGATATGAGAAAAAAAATGAGCAGATGGTTATTAATAGCGGGAGGGTCGGCTCCTGGATTAAATATCTGGTGTTGTTAATTTAGTTAAATAGTAAACAAAAAGCAGATTGATTAAGTAGGATTTCCATTTTCAAAATAAGTGGAGAGAGCTAACTAGTGAAATCAACTGGACTGAGTGATTTTTGACTAAGATGTAGTAGAGGTTAGGGATTTATTTTAGACAAAGGTGCAAAAGTTAATAAAAAACCCTGCATTCCAAATTAGATGAGAAAAAAACACTTGGAAGTTCTATGCCAAAGTGAATGATTAAGTATTTTTCAAGGAGTGTCTGGAATAAGCAAAGATCCTCAAAGAAACAGAAAAACAGCTTGATCTGCAAAGAAGACCTCCTCCTGGAAAGTATGGGGTTATAGCGACAATCAGTAAAACTTTAAGTTGAATCAGATCGTAACACAAGCATTTAAATAAACAGGAAAATATTACTTGACTATGTAAAGAAGCTTGCTAGGAAAGAAAACTAGAACCATTCTGCAGTGTGAATGGACAGATGATACTAAATGAAATCCAGCTATGGTCTGAAAAGGAGAATATTTAATTTAAAAAATAAAAAAGTAAAAATAAAGTTTCAGTCAAAGGCCTGAAAATAAACCAATAAACTAGATGGGAGTTTTGGGTAGATACTGTAAATTAGCAGAGCTAATAATCTGACTTGCAGACTTCAAGAATATTGACAAATGCTGCTGCATGGAACAATTTTCAGTATTTTAGTTCATGCCTTGTGAGTGGAAATATAGTACTCGTACTTAGATTAACAGGGGAAAGAAAAGTGATAGCAAAGCACCTGCATGGGCTGGCCATTATCTTTGCAGGGCTTTAAAAAAGTTTTTAAGAAAGAAGTAAGAGAGAAAAGCAAAGCAAATGGCATAACTTTTATTACAGGTTTTTTTGTTAAATGGACATTGAGGCCAGCTAACCTGCTTGCTTTTCAAAATATACATTCGGGAAATACATTAAGTCTGTCTGGACCTCAGTAAACCATCTCATGTAGTGCCACAGGAGATGCTGTGAAATATAAAGGATGGAGATTAATGAAGTATAGTGATTTTAGGATGAATAGAGAAATGCAAATGTTAATGAAAGAATTCTTTTTAGTGAAGATATTGGAGTTAACCAGTCTTAACTAATATTTTCATTTATTGTCTTGCCACAGAATGAGAGCTGATAGACTTTTATTAAGTAAAATTATTGGAAGGTAATATCTAGTGCCAGCGCAAATAGAGTATTGAGGCAGGGCTGGTCCTTTCTGAAGAAAAGAGGACTGCAAACAGCATGACATTGTGTGAACTACAGTATTGCACTAGCAAAAATTTTTAGTGCAAACTGAAAACTTCTTTTCGTAAATAAAAAATGGAGAGGAAATGCAGGCATATTTGGTTAAGGATGGCTGTGAAACTGTAAGATGGAGCAGTGCAACTGTTGGCTGTATCGAGCAAGATTTGTTTGGTAGAGAAGAAAACCACTAACCAAATTATCAACACTCTGAACTTATAGCGTGTTGTCTACAGATCCTGTCTCTCCTTTTCCATGTGTAAGAAGGACTGAGTTAAAGAAAATGGGGAATATGAAGCCTCATTTAGAAAAAAGAATGAAAGAACTTGATTTCAGTCAGCAGAACAGAGAACAGAGCCGTGCAGTGCTACCTGTAAATTTTAACTAAGGAGGCACACAGGGACATAGAAGAATTATCAAGCTAAATGATGAGGCAAGAATGAACAGTATAAAACAAGAATAAATTTGCTTTGAAAAATACATGACTCCTGGCTTTTAACAGTCTTTCAATAGACGTACTTATAGAAGGAAAATTTCCTTGTAATCCTTGATTTCTAGCAACATTACTGTTCTATGTATCACCAGCCCACAGTAAACAGTAACATATGTAAAATAAGATGTTTGGCAGACATCTTAATGGGTACTTTCAGACAAGCTTTGAACTTGTGCTATGACAAAAAAAAAAGTGGTATCAGAAAGTCAGCTCAGAATTTTTCACAAAACAGATGAACTTTCACAGTTTTTGACTTAACGTTGGTAAAATCGAGCTCATCTACTAATATGGTGTACTTCTGTAACTCTATACTAATTAAACTGTGTTTAATAATTTGAGAAGAGCCTCAATCAAAACTTTAAGTGAAATTAAGTATCAGACTTTCAGAACACTCAGGCTCCAGTCTGAACATGGAGACTAGTTAAGATGTCTATAAGGATTTGAAGAGGTGAAGTTGAGATTTGTCTATGTAAGTTTTAGGTGAGTTTTGTTGTCACTGAAGTTACCATTTATGGTAAAATCAGTTGCAATTGTCATTGATACTGTGTTCATATCAGTGTTCGTCTTACAACAAAGGTGTTTTGTCTTTCTTTTTTAGGAGGATCAAGTGAAAATGGAAGCACACCCCCCACCTCAGATTCAGATGGAACTTTTACGTCTTACAGGTTGGTAATTTTTTATATCTTTTTTCTAATTTTAAGAAGGTTGATTATAATAAGAAGCATAATCTATTTAAAGCAAAAGAACAGGTCCTATACTTTAGGAGGATTGTGCAATCTAAACTGAAACAGTGAACAAAAGGACATGAAGTATTTAATTAAGGAATTATCTGAAAATTTGTTTTCTGGATTTTTGAGGATTTTTAGAAAGTTGTTCAAAATGTTTAACTAATTAAAGTACAAGATATTTGAAAGCCTGAACATTTTGAAAGTTGGTTTTCTGTGGGATTTTTTCCTCCAAAGTATTCAATGAAATAAACTCACAGCAACTAAGCTAAATGTTGAAATGTTCAACTCACCAATGATCACCTTTCTGATCTCCAAAGTAGCTGGATCCATGGACCACATAGAACTCTATTTTCTCATTATTTCATGTCAAAAACCGAAGCCAAGATTAGTTAAATTAGTTGAGATTATTTGACAGGAAAATAATATTTCAGTTTTGTTGGCAATAAACACCAATTAAAGAAACTTTTTTCAGCAATGTCATTGAGCTTGAATCCTGCTTGGGTACATACCAGAGGGTGTCTTGTGCTTGAAAGCACAGAAAGGTAATCAGCAGGTGTATCCTTTCATCTTTCACCCTGCAAAATACTGATTCTGCTGCTAAAAATCTTTGTCCTTGTGACTAGTAAATTAATGGTATGATTTATGCTAACCATAAGGATTGCATCTGATTTTCATGTTTAAGTATGGTAAAACAAAGCAAGCTTACCACATGATGGTTTTTGAATCGTTTAGTAAACTGTGTTGGTTGGCATTTTTTATGGTTTTGATTTGTGCTCTGCTGGAATCTCCACTTCAAAGAGCTTCAGGCAGGCAGGAGGAACCCGCCTTGTCCTGGTTGCAGCTGGCTGGGTGGGGAATATTGCACCACGGTGCAGGCAGTGAGCTGTGCTGGTCACAGGGAGCCTCGGGCATGGGGTGGCAGGGAGGGACACAACGCTGGAGAACCTGTTGCAGGCTGGAGACAGAGAGATTGCCAAGGAGAGCAAGGAGCAAACAGCCTGGTCTTGAGGATGTTGAAAAGAAAGACATTTTGTAAGAACCTAGAAGGAGCAGCAAAGAGTTTCCTGCAATTCAAACACCAAGCAGAAGCTTCTGGACTAAGAGCAAGGTTGGAACTAAGGGTGTGCCTGCAGGGACAAGATGGGACTTAGGTGGCTTGGTTTAGGCATCCTTACAATTTTCTGTGTCCTAATAAGTTGACTCTAATGAAACCTACTTTGTGATGATGTAAAAACTCTTCTGGGTAGTTAGCATATTTGATAAAATATATTAGAAGATCTATTTTAGGGTTCTGCATGACTCTGTTTCTTGTCATATTCGTGTTTTCTGCATGCAATATACTGTATAAGTTAAAAGAGGGGTCGAAAAATACCACCCAGGATAATCTTCCTGGTTTTGAGGTGAGAAGCATATGTAGATAGAGAGACCACAAATTAATCTCTCAAAAACAGACAATATAACCAGATCAGCAAAAGAAAGTTGAGAGCTCTTTCTGCCATTAAAGCCAAGAAACTTATTCCAGAAAGTCATCAATTCAAGAGCACCTTTGCCAAGTGGCAGCACTTGAAGAAGAAGCAGCCAACTTTAGCCAGACTCTGGTTCCTTGAGAGTGTGAGCTGTGGAGCTGGGGTTGGAGCCCTTCTTCTCTCCTCTGCTCCAGTCAGCCAGTAGCACTCATCTCTCAGGGAGCTAGTCCAGGGTGCTAACCCAGCCCAACCTGTTCATTCTTCATAGGAAGAGCTTTCTGATGACTTCATTCTCAGTATCCTCCTGCCACAGTTTCCCATGGTATCAGTGCCAACGCAGGGAATGTAGCTAACATGGACAGCTAGAAATAAGTGGGAGAACAGAGCATGGTACCTTTCCCCTAAATCAGCCCAAGCCTTAATGGCTCTTTAATGCTCTGCAGATTAAGTGGAGGTGAAGGCTGATCTCTGTATCTCTATATTCCTTAGTCCAAAGTGCTTATAAGAAATATGACATTGGCTACAAGTTCCACTGAATAATACTAATATTCTGTCAGAGAGGATTGCAGCACAACTTAGCAAACTGAAGTTAATTAGTCTTTTTGCCAAAGTATTATTGATATAATTAAAGGCAAGATAGTAAAAAATATATATATTGTGTGTATGTATATGGGAAGGTGTGTATGTATACATATATATAAAAGTAACCTCTGACTTTTCATAGTTGGCAAGCTATCACTTTTATTTAGTAGTAGTGCTTGAGATGTGAAATGTATATTAGTTCCTCAGTGGCAAGTAATTCCTGTCATCTAATGAGACTGGCTGTAAATTTGATGGTCAGGTTGGATATTGTTTTGATAGTTATAATTCTGGACTGCATGTTAAGTAAAAATGAGCATCTCGTACCTTATGAAAGATGAAAAGTGAATCCTAAACTGCCTTGAAAGGTAACAATGGTAAATTGTTGTTATTTCTTTAAGGACTCATTAGAGATTTGACTTATTTTAGGATATTGCCAAGGAATATTGTTTTAGTAAGTTAGTAATTTGTTAAAACTAATGATAGTGTTGTTTACCCAATGCATTTCAGTCTATTATATTTTAATGAGACCAGCTAATGAATTTTTACCATAAAAGAGGCAAAGGCATCTTTGGATCATGGTAGATGTCACGCATGCACAAGGTTAATACGTGAGAAATTTTATTGAAAAATTTTGCTAAAACAAAAGTTGCTTTATATTTTATCAGTAATAGGCCTTTACAATTTAATTAGAAGAGATGACTCCAAAAATATTTGAATATTAATAAGTTTTGCTATTAAAGTGTTCTTAAAAACATTGTTTTTACCCCAATAAAAAATAAACCCCAGGAGAGAGTGCTTGATTCCCACATTCTCTGTTTTAAAGGGCAATTTGACACTATCCAGTACAAGACTCCAAGTGTATGTGTTAATAAAAGATGACATATCATTATTCTTTGATATATTTATGATGCTCCAGAACTATTTGTATGATTTTATTTTTAATATGAAGGTGTCACCTTAGAGTTTGTGGCTCTTGCTTGTGTTGATCACAGCACAGATTTAATGCTGCATGTGTTCAGATAGTGAGCATTTCTCTTTAGGTCATAAAGTTTGTAAGTAATATAAGTGAAAAGCACATGTGACTGGCATGTATATCTAAACATTCTTTGAGTTTGTGAATGCGTCCTGTCAGGTCACAGAGAATTTTCTAGCTGGTCTTTAGCCTCTGATGGAAGTATCCTTTGTGTGCTTGGGAAGAAGCTTTACTAATAAGAAATTGCAAAAATTTCCTAGAACCATGTCATCAGAATTAGAAGTTCACTATTAGAAACATTGGAACAAAGATTTGGATATAATAACTTTCAGCTTTTAAATGTAAGAAACTGAAAGAAAATATTTGAGCTCTGCTCTACTGTATTATATTACTGCTATGGTTAAAGCCTTTTTTGGATGTCCAAATGGGCTGGACTTCACCAAAAGGAAAAGGAAAATAGATGTGTGTCTTTAGTTTAAGTATCTGCAATGCAGTGCCACTGGAAAGTAGAAATACTGTCTTTCTCCTCGCTTCCCAAGGGCAGCTGACCTTCTCCTCGCCAAAGAGGTGAACCCCTTGCCAGCACATATGACTACAGACTATTACATTAATCTGTTTAGCCTCAGTACCAGCTGCTTGCATGTTTTTAATTATCTTATTAGATGGTATAACAGTGACCTATGAAATAAAATGAAGGTGAGTATTTTTTAACTTTATTTTACAGGCTATTTTTCTAAATATATTTTAATGACCTAATTATGACTTTTAGGGAGAGCCATTGATGCAGACATTCAATTTGGCTGATAGAATCTAACATCTCAAGGACACTTATTTTCTTTCAAGGTGGATTCATACATTAATACTGCTTCTAATAAATATATAGCCTAAAAAAGCTCACTTTTCATACTTGTGTTGTTAACTTTATGATTCAGAGACCCATGACTGCTGTGTTGGGTAATTTCTTAATACATCTCTGCACATATTTATAAGTTCAATTCTTACCCCATGTATCAAGATAAAGTTCTTTCCTCTGTGGCTTAAATTCCATGATAAAAGATGATTGCTCAAAGGTGTGAGCTGTGTAGACAAGGTGTATTCCTTCTTCTGCTCATGCTTCAAACAGGTAGTGGATCTAGTACAAGAAAGACTTTTGTATTCCATTTTCTCCCCCTGACTCCTTACAGATTCTGCTTACCAGATGTTTCCTTCCTTGATGCAAAAAGGCAATGTGGTCCTGCTGGCTGAGGGTTTTCTGGTGTGCCAGCCAACTGCAGGGCTGACACTGAGCATACAGGAGGAGAAAGACAGCAAGGGGTGCAAGCTGTTCCTCCTTGGTTCTGCCTGCTTCCAAAAGTGGTGCTGAAACCGGTTGGGTTACCCTTTGACCTGTGGCTTTTGTTGGCAGTTGAGCCAGAAGTGGCTACATAGCCTCTGTCCTTACATGTTAAACATACTGTGAAGGTGTGTGCAACTAACCTTATGGAAAACATTGTCTTAGTCTATTGGGAAGAAGCCCTTTCCCATCTACACAAGCCTATCTAGTCTTGCTCATACAGAGACGATGTTACTTTATTGTTTTAATTTTAAGCCACCCCTGTGCAATTATAATCTTACTTTTCCTGATTTTGTTCACTGTATGTCCACACACAATCAAGAGATGTAAAGAACAAGCTTGTTTCTATGGGTTTTTTGATTATTTTGAATAAGAAAAATTGGGACAGAAGGCAATGTAGTGAAATTGTCACTGCCACACCATTCCACTCCACTCCACAAGGAGAGTTCACAGCACTTGGATCCTTTCTCTCTTTCCACAAGGAGGTAGTAAAACTGGCATCCATGTTTATTTTGTCTTATCCTACACCGTTTGCTAGACACTGTTCCAGTTGATGCCATTTATGTGCAAAGAGGCCTGTTCA